CCCCCCCCCTCCCCATTCTACTTTACACCCAGACCACCGACCGGTTGCCCAGTGACAAAGCTACCACCATGCCCGCCCCCGCCGCCACCCAAACCGCCACCTTAAACAAGTTCATCGACGGCTGGAAAGGCTGGACGCCGGACGGCTTTCTGGCCAGCTGGTCCGACGACTGCGCGCAAGTGACTCTGCCATTCAGCTCGGGGGTCCCGCCTCGCACCCGGGCCATCACCGAGAAGCTCTTCCCCAAGCTCATGTCCATTCTGACCAACTTTCAGGTACAGTAGCCCACCCAGCTGATTAATGGCACACGAAGGGCTAATAACACCCAATGTAGCTGACGGTGCACAACGTTATCCACGATCCAGCGGAGAGCAAAGCGGTCATCTACGCCATCACCACGGCCGACTCGCCCTTCGGGCCGTACAAGAACGAGCACGCGTGTTTTGTGTGGTTTGATGAGAGTGGCGAGTCCGTGAATCGGATCGAGGAGATGTTTGATGGGGTGTTTATGAAGAGCTTCCTGCCGAAGTTGGAGGCGTATATTAAGGGGCAGGAGGAGGCTTGAGCACAGGTAGATAGATATCTGACGGTAATTGGATGTGAGGTTTGTAGTATTGTGTTTATTCTACTCTCAGCTGCACTTACTTGGCTGGATGTGTAAACCTGATCGTGTCCGCGGTGATTTACATCACATCCTCCGAGGCCAGCCCTGAATTCGGCCTCGTAAACCCTCACCGAAACGAGACCTTCGTGTCTGGTGCATTTAGAGATACGCCCTATTTCGACGAAACCACAACCTTGACTCCCGATGCACGAGTCCATACACCATTTTTTAGGAATGAAACGATTTATCATTATAGCATTCAAAATCAACCTTCCGAACGCGGGCCCTACTTCCCCCCCGCAGCGACCGCCCCCGGCCCCCCATTCTCCTCCAGGTACCTCCCGAATTTCGGCCCAAACTCCTGCAGAAACGCGGTATCGAGCATCTCCTCGAGTCGGGCCACTTTTCCTCCGTCGTCGGTGAACGTCAGGAAAGCCGCGTACTCGAGGTTCCAGTCCCCCCACGGAAGCGTCCCCGTCGACGCCGCGTATACCGCCGCCTTGTTGTTTTCGGGATCATGGATGACGTGGTGGACGTGCAGCTGTCGGTGTTAACATTGTTTGGCCGCCTGAACGTAGCTACCGCGACTGAGTACGTACTTCATATGACTTCACCGTCGCGACGAGGGCAGGCAGAACGACCTCCACTTCCTTGCGGGTCCGAACGGGCATGTTCAGGCCGTGGGGGAGGGTGATTTGTTGGAAATCGTCGGAGAAGGTGGAGAGCCATTCTTGCGCGTCCCATTTCTTCCAGGCGGAGAGGAACCGCTGCAGTGTTGCGGCTTGAGTGGAAGCTGGGGCGGTCATTGATTGGGTGTATTTGTGATAGAGATGGTGAATGGGATTTCAAGGGCAGTGCAGGTTGTTCGGTTGTGAAGATATATTCATATATTCTCAGGGCTTGAACGTTGTAGTGACAAAATATTCGCTGGGTAGGTTGAGGCAATGGGAGGCGAAGTTCAACCGTGAATGCCATCAGGCGACAACAGACAAAGAACGCATAATCGTCGAAATGGATGGACATCCTGTGGAGTCGGAAAATGGGTTCGGGCAATAACGGGGGATTTCACGACCCGGACACCTCGACGGACGGCCTTCGGAAAAGAAAAATAGCCCTGACTGGGCACAAATATCTTGTTCGACCCGTACGCTCGATTCACGACGGTGCAAGATACACTTCCAGTAACATATCCTTCGTCGTGCCGTTGCTCTTGCGAAGTTCACAACTCACAACACTCTGAAAATGGGTTCTATCTCGTACATCCCCTACCGGCTCGATGGCAAAGTCGCCCTGGTGACCGGATCCGGCCGCGGCATCGGCGCCGCGATGGCTGTCGAGCTGGGCCGATGCGGCGCAAAGGTCATCGTCAACTACAGCAAATCCGCCGGACCCGCCAACCAGGTGGTCGAGGAGATCAAATCCCTGGGGTCCGACGCCGTCGCTCTCCAGGCCGACGTCAGCCAGGTGCCCCAGACCGTCCAGCTGTTTGAGATAGCCGTCAAGGTGTTCGGCGGTATTGACATCGTCTGCTCCAACGCCGGCGTCGTCTCATTCGGACACCTGAGCGAGGTCACCGAGGAAGAGTTTGATCGCGTCTTCAGCGTCAACACCCGGGGCCAGTTCTTCGTCGCCCGCGAAGCGTACAAGCACTTGAACCAGAATGGTCGGATCATTCTGATGAGCTCCAACACGGCCGACTCGTTCACCGTGCCAAAGCACTCGCTCTACTCCGCGTCCAAGGCGGCCATCAACACCTTTGTCCGCTGCCTGGCCAAAGACTGTGGCGACAAGAAGATCACCGTCAATGCGGTGGCCCCCGGCGGCACCGTCACCGATATGTTCCATGAGACGGCCAAGGACTATCTGCCCAACGCGGACAAGCTATCCAAAGAGCAGATCCTGGATGTGAGTTGCGTCAAGACGCGCCATTCTGTTTGCAGAGACTAACAGTATAGATTGTGGCTCATGTCTCGCCTTTGACCCGGTGCGGGTATCCCGTCGATATCGCCAAGGTAGTGTGCTTCTTGGCCTCGAGCGAGAGCGAATGGGTGAATGGGAAGGTTCTTGGAATTGATGGTGGTGCTGCTTAGATGGTTTGTCTCTAGAGCTCGATAGCCAATAAAGCTTCATATTGCACTGATGCACGAACTTTACGATTGTCACACTGCGTAGGCATGGTTTGTAGCTATCGGGAGGATATACGTCTCAAGCGGGGCTGTCAACCTTCTCAACACGACTGAGAGTCGAATAATTATGCTGGATCATACAACAATGCTCTCAGCCTCGGTGAAAGAATGCAAAAGTCAAAGCAACAATGTCAAGTAAGAGCAAACCAAGTCTTGACCCCCTTCCTCACCCGGAATGCCACCTTCCCATCCTCTGCCAGCTTCCTCAAGACCTCCTCCATGAACGGTTCTAATGCCATTTTCCGTACTTCCTCATTCACCCGAGTGCCATGAACTACGTCAATAAGCTCACCCACAGTAACACTGGCCAACTGCCCCGTGGACCTCTCCTTCCGGATCCGACCCAGCGCAGCAAGACACTGCTTTTCCCGACGGGTCTTCTGCGCCAGTTCGGTGGCAATCTTGAGATTGAGGTCGGGAATGACGGCACCGTGGGCGGGATAGCCCGTCCTACATCCTTGAGCCTGCAGCTTCCGGAGAGTGTCCATGTAGAGGCCCAGCTGCTCGACGGCGCTCGTGCCGTGGCCGAGGACATTGTCGCCCGTGAACATGGCATTTTCCTCCTCAAGGACAAAGCACATGTGGTCGTGCGAGTGGCCTGGTCCGTGAACTGCGCGGAGGGTCGCACCCTCGACTTTGAAGATTTGGCCTTCCTCGATGGGGTGTTGGCCCTGCTCGGGCGAGTTCTTGTAGATGCCATCCACCAAGTGGGGATACATCCGGATGAGATCCGGAACGCCGCCGGTATGGTCGCCGTGCCAATGGGTGAGGAACACATGGGACAACGAGATCGATCGGTTCGAGAGTGTGACGTCGATCAGATCGGCCCATTCACGGTAGCCCTGTGCGGTGTCGATGAGAAGGCGGTGCTGGCCTGTGCCCACGATATAGGTATTCGTGCCTTGCAACGTGAACTCCACCGGCCATTAGGTTCGATCATCTCGCCGGGGGGGTCGGTGAGGGGCATACCTTTCCCGCATTCTGGCCAAGAACTCGAAGCACCCGCGGGCTGAGCTGTTCGATATCCAGAAGTTTGGGCAGTTGTGACTGCTGCGTGACGAGATAGTCATCGAACGCGCAGGCGTTCAGGGTCTTGTTGATCTGTCGGTAGCCTCCTTCACCCATTTTGATCTAGGGATGCGATGGTCTGGTCAGGCTTGGAAGCGTTATCGACAATCCAGACCGGAAAATCCCAAGATTCATTTGTATAACCCGTCGGGGGTGCTGCGTCTGCGTATTCCGTTGTCCGGATCCCGACTCGGGAGTCGGGCTATTTGTCTCTGCTGCTAGTCTCTGTGGTGGGTAGTGGCAAGTACGTCGAGATAGATGGAGTGACTGGACTATTTATCCTGGGAATCCATGTCGATGTAGCTCCCTAATCAATCAGTTTGATTCACTCTCCTTTGCATTTTGGTGCGCGCTAGACACTCTCCACTCTTCTTTTGCCTGACATTCACCCTACACCTCCCTACACTTACGAATTTGCTGCCATTTGTACAGGTAGCAAGGGCATGTCGGCTCCCTCGTCGTCGTCCTCAACAGCCTCATTCGACATGGTAACCTATACCCCCCCAGCAGAGGCGCAAGACCTACCCACCAAGCTTAAGGTCCTGTACTTCAGCAACGAGTTTCCCACAGATGACCTTTCGACCCTTCTGCGCCGGTTACACAGTCATAGCAAGCACAGCAGTCATCCCATCTTGGCTCGGTTCTTGAGCGAAGCCACGAGGGTGCTGCGAAATGAGGTCAGCCAGCTACGCGTGGAACTGGGGCAGCTGGTTCCTGCTTTCGAGTCCGTGACGACTTTGGCGGGTGAGACAAAGCTACGCAAGGGACCGCTTGCTCAATCTATTGATGGAGTGTTGCTCTGTGTGCTGCAGCTGGGGATATACATTGGGTACGCCTCTCATTCCCTGTGGTTCTGCCTGTGCTGGACTAATTGATCAGGCACTGCGAACTCTATCCAGAGGACCGGGCAACAGAGACCAACAGCTTACTGACTGGCTTGGGAGTGGGTATACTGGTCTCGACAGCCGTTTCAGTCTCCACATCCCTGGACGATGCAGTCACGGCTGGTGTGGAAGTCCTGCGCATTGCCTTTCGCCTTGGCGTGTTCGTGGCCGACGTCTCGCATAACCTAGAGGCCGTTGATGCGGAGTCCGCCGAGTCATGGGCATACGTTGTCCATGGAATGACTGTCGACGAAGCTCAGACAGAGCTGGATGACATCCAAGCCAAGGAGCGGACCCCATCAGCCAGCAAGATCTTTGTCAGTGCGATCAGCGAAACCTCGGTCACTGTGAGCGGACCCCCAGCTCGGCTCAAGGCGCTCTTCCGCAATTACGCCTCGTTTCGTGATCGCAAATTTGCGCACCTCCCGGTCCATGGAGGGCTATGCCATGCAGCGCATCTCTACACGCGTGAAGACGCACAGGCAGTCGTCCGATCGCCCTCGCTACCGGCGCGATATAAGCCCGTCGTGCCCGTCATGTCCACCAGCTCCGGCCAGCCGTTTCTGGCCTCCAGTGCTGCAGAGCTGTTTGAGCAGGTGATTTTCGAAGTTCTAACCAAGCAAATCGTGTGGGACAATGTTATCCGTGGTGTTGCAGAGCGGGTCGCTAAGACCGACGTCCACGACGTCAACATCAAGGTCTTCCGTCACTCTCTTCCAGCCCAGCAGCTGTCGAGTGCGTTGACGTCCGCCATAACGGATCTCCCTGTCGATACCGACGACCTTCTGGCGTGGGTTGGATCCGATGTCGACCACGGACAGTACTCGCCCGGAAGCTCCATGCAGTCGAAGATTGCGATCGTCGGCATGTCCTGTCGCATGCCAGGTGGCGCCACGGATACCGAGAAGTTCTGGGATCTCCTTGAAGCTGGACTGGACGTACACCGGAGGATACCCGCCGATCGCTTCGATGTGGACTCGCATCACGATCCTACTGGTAAGAGGATGAATACCAGCCACACCGCGTACGGGTGCTTCATCGACGAGCCGGGCCTCTTCGACGCACCGTTCTTCAACATGTCGCCCCGTGAAGCTGAACAGACCGACCCCATGCAGCGCTTGGCCATTGTCACGGCGTATGAAGCCCTAGAGCGAGCCGGGTATGTGGCGAATCGCACGCCGGCGACAAATCTCAACCGCATCGGCACCTGGTACGGCCAGGCCAGTGACGACTATCGGGAGGTCAACACGGGTCAAGAGATCAGCACCTACTTCATCCCCGGTGGGTGTCGCGCCTTTGGTCCCGGGCGCATCAATTACTTCTTCAAGTTCGCGGGGCCCAGTTTCAACTGCGACACGGCCTGCTCCTCGAGTCTGGCCACCATCCAGGCGGCCTGCACTGCGCTCTGGGCAGGCGATGTCGACACTGTCGTCGCAGGGGGTCTGAATGTGCTCACCAACTCGGATGCGTTCGCCGGGCTCTGTAACGGTCACTTCCTCACCAAGACGCCCAACGCCTGCAAGACTTGGGACTGCACGGCTGATGGGTACTGTCGCGCCGATGGTGTCGGCTCGATTGTCATGAAGCGGCTGGACGATGCATTGGCGGACAACGACAACATCCTCGGCGTGATTCCAGCGGCGGCGACCAACCACTCTGCCAATGCGGTTTCCATCACACATCCTCACGCCGGCCACCAGTCCGATCTGTATCGGCAAGTCATGGCGCGGGCTGGCATCGACCCGCTTGACGTCAGCTACGTGGAGTTCCACGGCACGGGAACTCAGGCAGGTGATGCCGAAGAGATGGAGTCCATCACCAACGTGTTTGCCCCGATCAAGGGCAAAAGGCGAACCGCCAAACAGCCGCTTCATATCGGTGCGGTCAAGGCAAATGTTGGCCATGGAGAGGCTGCTGCGGGTGTCACGGCGCTTATCAAGGTCCTGCTGATGCTGCAAAAAGGTGCAATCCCGCCTCATGTCGGCATCAAAACTGACATCAACCCGGGCTTTCCTAAAGATATGGACCGGCGCAACCTGCATATTCCCTTCGAGACCACCGCATGGTCTAGGACGTCCGAGAAGAAGCGCATTGCGGTGGTCAACAACTTCAGTGCAGCCGGTGGTAATACTACGCTTGTGCTGGAGGAAGGTCCAGTGCGAAACAGACTTGGATCCGATCCGCGACCCAGTCATGTCTTCACCGTCTCTGCAAAAAGTAAAATCTCTCTCAAGGGCAATCTCCAGCGACTGATTGCCTACCTTGAGAAAAATGAAGATGTGAGTATGGCCGACCTGGCGTACTCGCTTACAGCCAGACGGTATCACCACAACCATCGTGTCGCTGTTACCGCGACAGACGTGAGCAGCCTGAAGCAACAGCTTATTTCCAAGCTGGACGGGGTCGACTCCATGAAGCCAATTCCCACAACCGGAGCACCGCCCGTGGCGTTTGTCTTCACCGGGCAAGGCGCCGCCGACAAGTCGATGAACCTGCAGCTGTACCACCACTCCCCATTCTTCCGGTCCCAGCTCGAAAGCCTTGACCGTCTGGGTCAACAGCACGGCTTTCCCTCGTTCCTTCCAGCCGTCGATGGCAGTTATCCCAAAGACCACGCCTGGTCGCCCGTCATCACCCAAGTGGCTCACACCAGCGTGGAGATTGCCTTGGCCAAATACTGGGAGACCCTGGGTATCAAACCCGAAGTCGTCGCCGGACATAGTCTGGGCGAGTACGCGGCCTTCGTCATCGCCGGTGTCCTCTCCGCAAGCGACGCCATTTTCCTGGTTGGGTCGCGTGCTCAGATGCTGGAGTCCTTGTGTACTGCCGGCACGCACAAGATGATGGCCGTCAAGGCGTCGCGACGCGAGATTGAGGATGCGGTCAAGGACCTTCCGTATGACCTCGCATGCGTGAATGGGCCCAAGGAGACGGTTCTGTCAGGGACCACCGAGCAGATGGAAGCCGTTTCGGTCCCTCTCAAAGACCAAGGCTACAGGGTCATCTTCCTCGATGTCCCATTTGCTTTCCACTCCGCCCAGACCGACCCCATCCTGGACCTGTTTGAGGAGACCGCTAGCAAGAGCGTCATCTTCCGCCCACCCACGCTGCCCATCGTCTCCCCCTTGCTGGGTAAAGTTGTCTTTGATGAAAAGTCTCTCAATGCCGAGTACTTGCGCCGAGCGACGCGCGGAACAGTTGATTTCTTGTCGGCCATGCAGAACGCGCAGGAGACCTCGATCGTCGACAAGGACACCGTCTGGGTTGAGGTCGGGCCGCACCCGGTCTGTGTGGCATTCATCAAAGCCAGCTTCGACCCTGCTCCGGTAACAGTGGGCTCTTTCCGTCGTGGGGAGGACAACTGGACCACTCTCGCAGCGAGTCTGGGGCAGCTTCACACCGCGGGGCTGCAGGTGCGCTGGGATGAGTTCCACCGGCCTTTTGAGGCGGCGCTGCGTCTTCTAGATCTGCCCACCTATAACTGGAACGAGAAAAACTACTGGATTCAGTATAGAGGCGATTGGGCGCTCACCAAGGGCAATACCTTTTACGATGCGGAGAAGGGTATCAATCGACAGGCCGCGGCTGCCCCGGTCTCTAGTCTCAGCACCACCACTGTGCAGCAGATCATCGAGGAGAACTTCTCTGGATCGTCCGGCAAGGTCGTCATGCAGTCTGACCTGATGCAGCCTGATCTCCTTGCCGCGGCGCACGGACACAAGATGAACAACTGCGGTGTCGTTACGTCCGTAAGTGCTTATCAAACCTTCTGCCTCGGGCTTTTACTGACTACTTAGTCCATCCATGGGGACATCGTATACACCCTCGGTGAATACCTCTACAAGAAGCTCATCCCCACGGCCAAGACCGTGCATGTCAACATCACTGACCTGAAGGTAACCAAGGGGCTCGTAGCCCAAAGCAACACCAAGGTGCCGCAGTACTTCCGCGTCACCGCGACAACAGCCGACATCCACGCCGGTGCCGCCGACTTCGTCTGGGCGAACGTCGCCAACGACGGCACCGTCTCGGAACCCTTTGCAACCTGCCGCGTCGTGTACGGCGATGCGGATGACTGGCTCTCATCATGGAGCCCGCTCGCGCACCTGGTGCAGGGCCGCATCGAGACCCTGGAGCGTCTCGCCGCGGAGGGGATCGCCAACCGCTTCTCGCACAAGATGGCGTACACCCTCTTCGGCAGCAACCTGGTCGAGTACGCCGACAAGTACCGGGGCATGCAAGCGGTCGTGATGCACGAGTTCGAGGCGTTCGCCGACGTCACCCTCAAGCACGTCTCCGGCGGCGGGAGCTACACCGTGCCTCCGTACTTCATCGACAGCGTGGCGCATCTGGCCGGGTTCATCATGAACGTCTCCGACGCCAGCGACACGGCCAACACCTTCTGCGTGACCCCGGGATGGGACAGTATGCGCTTCGCGCGGCCCTTGGTCCCCGGCCAGCGGTACCGGTCCTATGTCAAGATGATCCCCACCGCCGACGATCCCTCCGTCTATCTGGGGGATGTGTATGTCTTCCAGGACAATGTGATCGTCGGGATGGTGGGCGGCATCCAGTTCCGTCGCTACCCCCGCATCCTCATGAACCGGTTCTTCGCCGCGCCGGACTCGTCCATTGCCAAGTCCTATGCTGCGGCTGGGGGTGCCGGTCCTGCCGTGTCTGCCCCGGCGCCTGCTGCTCCTGTCTCGCAGCCCACGCCCGCGGTGGTAGACGCTGCCCCCCCGGTCAATCCGTCAGCACCGACCCCTGCCTCTACACCAGCACCGGCGGCCGCTGCTGCTGCCCCGGCTGTCGACTCCGACAGCACATCCGGCAAGGCGCTGGCTTTGATTGCCACCGAAGCCGGTCTCGACCCATCCGATCTCACCGACGACGCAGCATTTGCCAATCTGGGTGTGGACAGCCTGATGAGTCTGGTGATCGCCGAGAAGTTCCGCGAGGAACTGGGGATTGTGGTGGCCGGGAGTCTGTTCTTGGAGTATCCTACCATTGGAGCTCTGCGGTCGTGGTTGGAGGAGTATTATAGTTAGACCTGACATTTGTTTTGTGATCTCGGTGGGAAGATTGTGTTACGGTTGCTGCGCGACAATTTGTTCATCATCTGCAATATCTCTACAGAATCCAGATCGGAGCGTGTAATATCGCCTTGAAAGTCCAATGATCATTAAATATTCCTAATGCCCCCAGTAGAATTTTATGATCATCGTCCTCTATCGCCAAATTCTTTCAGGATGATGAAGTGTTGGTGGGTTGGTGGCTGAGTTGGGCGGCTGTATAGGAGACATTTTCATCCTAGTAGATTTGGTTGCTATACAAACAAGAACCATATTCTATAGACCTATTTTCGATGTATAGGTGTGCGTGTTATATCGGGAATGATTGAACTACCTGGGCTCCCAGCTGTAAATACTTGTTAATCTGCTTCTCTGAAGAGGGATTCCGCGTCTAAGATCTATTAATATTCATTAGAAGATATTTTTGGAATTTTAGGATGTGTACCCCTCGATATAGTCTTTTCTTCACACAAGTACTCGAATTATGGCAATGCAATATCTTGTTCTGAAAATGAAACAGATATATACATGTACACATATGGAGAGCTGGTATTAAGTAGGCTATAATTTAAGCCTTAGTGTCCTTAATATAATTTTAACATTCTTAGACTTTATTCTCTTCTATTTTCCCTATCTTTTAGTAAACTTAACCTCTAGATAAAAGCTCGATAGTAGAGTTCTATATCAATTCATGTAGCTGCCGACTCGCAAAGAGCCCCGGAGGAAGGACTTTATCATTCAAGAATAAGGCTTTCATGAATCAATTCAGCAATCGCAGTCCAGAGGGCCACATCCTCAATAGTAACGCATAATCACCCCCCATCCACCATCCTCATCCTCGTACTTGCAGAAGATCATTCGCGCCATCAATGCCGGCATCGGCATCGATTCATCTACCCATCCACACACAACCCACCCCCCCTCATTGCCCATTCTCCTCCGAGTCCGCGCCCCCCTCCTCCCCAAAATGCTCCTTCCCCTCCGCAAACACCTGGTCGTAGTCAAACTCCGTCCAGTTGATCTGGGGACACACGCCCGCAAAGCGCCACTCGCCCTCGACGCGGGCGTACCACATGGTCGCCGTCCCGTGCGCATGGCCCTTGACCGCCACCTCGGCGAGGGTCTCGTCCGTGTACCGCTGATGGGCGACGCGCAGCTGGTGGCGGCCCACGATGGCGTCGTCGGCCGTCTTCTCCCACGCGCTCAGCCCGACCAGGTGCTGCGTCCGGAGGCGCGGGTTGCCCAGGAAGCGCGGGTCGGAGGCCATGCGGATGAACTCGTCGCGCGGCATCGCGTCCCAGAGTTTGTTGAGGAAGGACCGGTAGTCGATCTACAGGGAAAAAGAAATCAGAGGGCGGGAATTGAACTGGCTGCAGTGGTTAGGAAGGGGGGCTCGGAAAGGCCCGGGGCAAGCCCTACACGCAGGGTGGGAGCCACGCTCGCCCGCAGACGCTCCCAGTCTTTCGTGTCGTAGCTGTCGGCCCATTCGAAGAGGGCGCGCTGGCAGCTGGTGATCTCTGGGGGGTTGGTCAGTATTTTGCGATTTGCGGGGCAAGGGGGGGATTAGGGTGGAGGAGGTCATGTGACCTGGTGTGGTTGTTGGGAAGTACCTTCGAACGTAGGGGTCTTGGACATTGTGATTGTCATCGTGGACTGGATTCTTGGGCTTGGGGAGTGCGAGTGTGGTTTTTCGGATTAGGGTACACAACCTTCCCACTCTGTGGAAACTTGTATCAAGTGCTGGTGGTTGTTGGTGGTGGATGGATGCGTCGGGAAGCGAGGCTCGGGTGATTCGCATTCGGATTCGGGTTTCGGGGCATTTCTGGTTTGGCGACCCCCATCAATCCCTGCTCGCGTGGTACAATGGTAATGGCCCGAGGTCGGTTGCACCGGGTTTCATGTTTCTGGCCGCGGAGGAATTTCCCCTGGCTTGCGTTGAGGAAGTAGGGGTTCTAGGTACAATTGCAGTCTGGTCGACCGTGGCGGTCGATGCTAGCTCTTGTCCTTGTGTGAGCATGGCATTTCTGGTCGACTGGTTTGCCTCCGTGGGTCAATATGCAAATGGGTTCGTAGAATCAGGAATACATCATCGCCGAGCCATGAGGGGTTGCGAGCAAACTGTATCTCTATTGACAGACTAGTTGTCATCTTCAGGGCAGTCGGCCTTTGCTTGCCTGTAGAGAGGGTGGAAGTTCGACTTGGCGGGACGGGAGGCTTTCCTTTCCAGTTGCCACTGCACGATCAGTGTCACTCCGTCCACACCCCCCTTCTTGCGGCTGGCTGTGTTTGACCGCTGTGCAAATGTAAAGCATGATAATAGTGCTCTAGACAATCAATGGTGGAAAACGTCCAGTGCGCGCACTTATTTCTTGTTGTGTGAAGCGAAGACCTTTTATATATATTGCTGCTCCTTGCTTTGCGGCCAAGGGTGAGACATCGTTGTCGATCGCCTTGGCTGAGATCAAACTCGCAGTGGTTGTATCAGGTCTGAGTCTGGATATGAGAGATAGCTACAGATTACATCAACCGAGATGCAAACACGAATGAAGTACAGTACATTAACTACCAACTATCTATCGACTGCCCTATCCCAATAACCCATTCATCCACCTTCCCGCAGCCTCCTCCCCACACAACCCCCCTCACTCAATCACCACCTTCTTCACCTCAACATCATCCGGCTCCGTCTTCGGCACCTCGACAACCAGCACCCCATCCTCCAACTTGGCCGAGATGGCCTCGCCATCCACTTTCGGCGCACTGCCCGGGCCGCCTAGTCGTACTTTGCGCTCAAACGCCCCCACCCGGCGCTCATCCAGCGCAATCGTCTTCAGCAGCTCCTCTGACCCGGGCCGAGCGATAGTCCCCGAAATACCAAGCTGCACAGCCCTGGGGTCCCAACTGACCTCGACATCTTCCTTCTTCGCGCCGGGCAGAGGCATGTGGATCACGAACGCCTCGGGGGTGTCGAACACGTCCACGTCGGGTTGGTATGTATCGGATTTGACTCCGGGGAACGTATAGGGCTGTTGATTGGAGTAGAGGAGAGGGAAGCCCCAAGGGTGGTGGGGTGCGTCGAAGCCGGTGCGTGCACTGTAACCATTTGCATTTGCACCCCATCCTCGGCCCCCGGGTCCGCCTCGCTGGAACCCGGGGAACGTGTCAGACGGCTGCTGATAAGGCAATTCGCCTGCGCCGTGTGTTTGCGCAGCCGGGAATTGGTACGGCTGGCGCGGGAACGCGGGCTTGCATTTGTTGTCATCATCGACATCGTTGTCGTTGTCGTCGCCCCATGGGGACGGATAGGGCTGGCGCCAGGGAATGGGACCCGGATACGGGTACGGCTGGTGGCCCTCGGCGGGTCCCGGGTAGGGATATGGCTTGCGCGGGAACGGCTTGGGCTTTGTTCCGTCGTCATCGCCCCACGGCGAAGGGTAGGGCTTTCTGCCTTCCGCCGCGCCTGGGAAGGCGTGTGGCTGGTGCCATGGGAGAGGGCCGGGGTAGGTGTGTGGCTGCTGCGCGTAGCCCGGGAACGGGTATGGTTTGCGGCCCTCGGGCGCGCCGGGGAAGGTGTATGGTGGGTGGCCCTTGGCCGGCCCGGGGTATGAATATGGCTTGCGCGGAGCCGTGGCCTCACCGGGTTCGTGGGTGGCCTCGTTGGTGTTGTCCCCGTCGCGGGGCTGCGCCGCCCAAGGCGATGGGTAGGGGTGGCCGGGGCGACCGACCTGGTTCGGGGCGGATTGGAAGGCCCAGGGGTTGGGGTTGGGGTGAGGAGAGGAGAATGGGTGAGTTGGGCCCTGTTCGTCTGTGTTGGCGGCAAAGGCCCAGGGTGGGATGTTCTGGTTCAGGGCGCGGATGGTCATGTTTTTAAAGTAGTCGAAACGACGGTGTGGAGTAAGATTGAAGGGCAAGATGGTGTTGGACTAGAGTTGACTGACTGCTGCTGATGGATTGGGATCAGAATGGGGACACGAAACCATACTCGATGTCTCCCTTTTATAGTTCCAATCCAGGCAACCAAAATTCACCAATCTATCCTCTACAGCGACTGAGTTTGCCACAAGTTGGTTGCTGTGGATCTGTGGCGCCGTCAAATTCATTGATGGCGGACAATGTCGGACCTCCTAACCCCCGAGCTGTCAATTGCCTGCTATTGTTGGGCTTCAAACCTCCCTCGGACATTCTACCCCCCGACCACATCCCAAAACAGCCCCCTTTTCCTGCATCCACCCCACCCCCTTGGATGGGAGTCCCTCGAATTAAGTATGACACAACTGACACGGCGTACGACAGATTCGGACACGCTACACCCCGATAGCCTATTTCTCGTTGCCCGTGGACTACTATCTCCCGACAAGCGTCCTGCTCAGCGCGCATGTCCGAACCCCGAAGCTGCCATCGCAGGCCAAGAAGCCCGATCGATAAGATCATGGACTGGCCGGCCAGGATCGAGAACAACAGACAAAGAAAGACCGGTCGCTAATTCCTGCGTCATACCATGTCCACCTACGCGATCCTTGGTGCCACCGGCAACTGTGGGACAGCTCTCATCGACAACCTGCTGCGCACCGAAAATGCGCGGATCCACGCCTATTGCCGCAACAAGGCCAAGCTGACCCAAAAGGTCCCAGCGGTCGCCGACAGCAAACGCGTCACGGTGTATGAAGGGAATATCTACGATGTTGACCTGCTGGCTGAATGCATACGCGACACGCGCGCCATCTTCCACGTGGTGACGACTAACGACAATGTGCCCGGCTGCCACGTCGGCCTGGACACGGCGAAGAGCATCATCGCCGCCATCGAGAAGCTGAAGGTCCACGGCCAGCTGCGCGCACCCCTCCCCAAAATCGTCCTGCTCTCCTCCGGCACCATCGACGACCATCTCAGCCGCCACATGCCGTGGTGGTTCCGCCCCATCCTTCGCACCGCCGCCTCGCACGTCTACGAGGACCTGCGCCGGACTGAGGCCTACCTCCGGGCGCAGGCGGACCTGGTTTCCACGATTTTCATCAAGCCCGGCGGGCTCGCGGTGGATGCGCAACGCGGCCACGAGCTGAATCTCGACCACGACGAATCGTTCGTCTCGTACCTCGACCTGGCCGCGGGGATGATCGAGGCCGCATGTGACGAGGACGGGAGATACGAGATGAAGAATGTCAGCGTGGTGAATAGGAACGGGTCGGCCAAGTTTCCCTCCGGCACCCCGATGTGTATTGCCACCGGTCTAGCGAGACATTTCTTTCCGTTTCTGCACGCCTATCTGCCATCTACCGGGCCTAGCTAGTGATTACACGACATCGAATAAACTATACCACGCGATTGTGTTGGTTCGCGCAAAGCAATTCCACAAAGTTAATTACATATGGTCACATTTCAACAGTATTCTAATCCACCCAAAAATCCACTAAGCAAGATCCGGCCGGATCTTCCACCCCATGTCAAAGCCCGTAAAATTCACAAACTTCTGGTCGGTGGGCCAGTCCTTGGTCGTGTCCAGCGCCATGCGCGCAATCTTCAACCACATATCGCCCTTAACCGGGAACGCATCGGGGTACTCGGCCTCGAACGGGCGCGCAGCCTCCTGGCCGTTCTTCAGCGCGCGGATCATCTTCGCCACATGCCCGTCGTCGTGCTCTTTGTTGACGGCTGCGTACAGCTCCTTCCAGCCCATGTCCGCGCTGAAGTCGTCGTGGTAGTCCGTGATCGCGTCGTCGTGCAGCTCGGCGGACCCGCTGACCACGTACCAGGCCAAATCCAGCCGGCCCTTCCACTCCACGAGGCGGACGCGGTCCGCGAGGCTGATCCAGTCCTGTCGGATGAGCACGCTGAAGAAGAGGGAGCTGGTGAGGGTGTGCATGTAGAAGAAGTCGATCTTGCGCTTGCGGCCGGGCCGCTGGCTGGCGCCGGCCATGTAGGCGCAGACGCTGATCATCTCAGCGGTGCGGCGCTGCAGCTCGCGCTCGTCGGGCTTGACGGTGAACTGCGAGCCGAGGGCCGCCGTCTCGAGGAGGGCGCGGCCGACGACGCCGTCGCGCATCTTGTTGCCGAAGTCCTCCCAGCGCGGGGCGGCCCGGATCGCCTCGGTGGCGCGGGCCTCGCGCAGCAGCTGCACCAGCGGCTTGGGGTGCGCCGGCGGGTACGCGATGGCCGCCTGCGCCTCGCACGCCTCGAACAGCCGGCTGATGTGGCTGTCGTCGTGAGCGGCAGCCTGCGCCAGCGCCTCCGCGATCAGACTGGGCTGCTGGAACTCGATCCCCAGCCCCAGGTGGATCACCGGGTGGTAGGCGCCCTCGTACAGCCGCGCCAGCATCTTCTCGGCGACCGCGCTGCGCGAGAACACGTACCGTTTCACGACGGCCTGCCACCCGTGCGCGTCCATCTGCCGCTGGAAGAAGACCAGGAACGAGGTGTACTGCGTGATCGCGCCCAGCGTTTCGAGGAAGAAGGCCTCGTCCGTGAGCCGCTCGACCGTCGCGCTGTCGACCGCCGGGATCGGCCGCTGGATGCCCACCCCGTCGTCGTAGGCGCGCTGGATGTCCGCGGGCCCGGCCCCCAGCGCCAGGCAGGTCAGGATCGAGTGCGCGATGTGGTTGTGGCCCGCCCGGTCGCGGAAGAACATGTGCCATTCCTCGTGGTTCTTCTGGAGGAGCCGGTTGGCTTCCTGGATCGAGGCGCGGTCCACGGCCGCGTCGCCCAGGAGGCCGACGTGCTCGTCCGACAGGCCGATCCGCGAGTTCAACGTGACGGTTTCGGTTGCGGTGGAGCCCATGGTTGGTCGTTGCTGTTTTAGCTTTTGGTTTGGGTTTGACTGGATGTCGAGTGGTCCTGTTGCTCCTGATGCGGGCTATATACATGATCAACCCTAACCGGGACAATGGAAATCGGGAAGCGGACTGCGACGCCCGGACCCCGAACCCCCTTGCAATCCACCCGAACCCATCACCCCATATATTCGGGGCATTTAGCACGCCCTGCTGGGTTCGCAATGAGCGGACCCTGCGTGACACACATCACCAGAAATCGCTACGATGACTGCGACTGCAACAACAGAAACAGAGGGCCTCCCGCCCAGCCGGTATCTCTGCCTGACCATCCTGGGCTATCGCAAGCCCGGCATGAGCGAGGAGGCCTACCGGCGACATATGATCCAGGTCTCGGCGCCCCTGACAAAAGACCTCATGGTCAAATACGGAGTCAAGCGGTGGACGGTGGTGCGCATCGTCTTCTCGGATCAAGTGCCCGCACGAGCGAACTGACACAAGGGGCTATGCAGATCCACAATCCGACGCAGACGCGCCTCTTGATGAACCGGATCTATGATCGCCAGATGGCCAACATCGCCGACTATGATTGCTTCAGTCAGGTGGTGTTCGAGAGCGTGGAGCACTACAAGAAGATGAAAGAGGATCCGTACTACAAGGAGCATCTTTTTGGGGATCATGAGCACTTTGCGGATACGCGACGCAGCCAGTAGGTTTTATCCCCAGCCCCTGGGATGAGAGCGGGTTTGTCTGACTGGCAGCGTAGAATGACGATCGGGTGGATCGAGGAATGGATCAATGATGGTACCGTGCGAGAGGGATTGGAGTTTCCCAGTGATGCCCAGCGGGGAGCGCCGGGGATTGTGTCGGCATCGGGCCTGGCCATGATGACTGTGTTTCTGGGCGCGTTTATCTTTCTTTCGAGATAGCTTGGATCGAACTACGCCTCGACGAAAGTTTATGTATGTGCAGAGATACCGGATTTGCAGACTGTGTAGCCGTTACTATAATACTAGTGGAATACAATCGCTCCCCTGGTGATCGGTTCGTTTATTGGAGCACGTCTGGGAATAGGGGCTGGGCTCGACTACCAGTGGTCTCTAAGTAGTGCACTCTCTTTCGATTCTCTGCCCAATGACCTGTTTCCCTGCCCTGCACTCGGTGCTACTCGCCAAAGGCGTGCTGGGTTACCGGCCGCTGCCACGGATATTGATTTCCGCCTTCAAGCCCCGCCCTGAGGGGACGACGCATGTCTCTCCAGGCCAAAGATGCAGTGACCCTCCATTGATCAATCCCTCACAACCATTGTTTATTCCTCAAGTGGCTGACAAACGCTCCTCCATGGGTTTCCACGGTCGCATTCTCGATGACCTCCAATTGCCGACGCACACTCTCCTCCATCGTCATCGGGCCCGCGAAATGCGGCGCGTACGCCTGCAGCTTGGCGACCATTCGCCGTCGTCCCTCCGCCTCGCCCTCGGACGGAGCCGTGTCGGGCTTGGACACGGCGCCGGGGCTGATAGCCATGAACAGGATCCCATCCGTCGCGGCGAGCGAGGCATGATACTTGGCCATGAGGAGGTTGGCCGCCGCCTTGGAGATCGCGTAGGGCGTCGCGTTGTCCACCGCGAAGTGTCGGACGAGGTCCGGATCGGCCAGCAGGGACGAGATGGTGATCACTTTCTTGGCTCTCCCCCTTCGAATCAGCGGCAGGAATGCGTTGACGGTGTGCGCCACCCCGACCACGTTCGTGCGGCATGACTGTAAGATGTCGCGCTCCAGGACCTCGGGCGACAGGTCCGCGATCGGTGTGAAGGCGCTGGTCGGGGTCAGGATGGCGGCGTTGTTGATCAGCACATCCAGGCCCCCACCGGTGATGGCGCGGACCTGCTCGGCCGCTGTCTGCAGGGCTTTGGGGTCGGTGATGTCGGCGCTGACGAGGTGGACGTTGGTCAGTCGTTCTGCCAATAAATGGCTATGCGTTGAGGATTTATCGCGAACGAGTCCGATTACGGTGTTTTGCGGGTTGGAGGAGAGGTGCTTCAACCAGGTGTAGCCCAGTCCTCGACTTGCGCCGGTGATGAGATAGGACGGCATGGTGTTTTGCTGGATCGGGATCGATGAACGGTGACCGGTCGCATAAATGACAGAATGCACATGCTTTTATTTCTTCTTTGAATGATTTGATGTCATCTAGCAGTGAGGATTCCTGCAGTAGCGCGCGTGCAGATCGCCAACCCTATTGGTTTTAATTCAGAAAGGCGTCGGGCTATTGTCGTCGGGGATTCGAAGCATCCCGGAGCCCGGTCGTACTCCCAGTCTAGGCCTACTAGCCATGCAGCAACAGGGGTCAATTGCATACTAGGAATCCTAGGAACCGTCAATGCGCACATAAGCAAACACCCGGATCCCGATCAGTTGATGATGACCAGTCTCGCTTGCCTAGTTGGACCAGTTGCACGTTGGCGATCTTCTAGGTGAGAGTACAGTACATAAGTTATTAGGGCTGTCTCACCAACCCAAACTTGTGCCCCTTCCTTGTGCCCCGAACAACTCACTCAAAATGGATGCGACATACACCGACAAGTTCAACGATTTCGAGCTGCCGATGAAGGCAGCGATAACAGGGTTGGTGGCGACCGTGACGACCGTTCTCGTCTACATTGTCTTTCTCTCGTACACCCCTCGTGTCGACCAGAAATCCCCCCAATTCACTCCCAACACCGTGCCACTGGTGGGGTCATGGAGTTTCTTCACGCAGAAATGGTAAGTATGCCTATCTCGCTTCCTCCACATTCATGCTTGTCTAAGCAACGCAACGCACAGGGCATTCTGGCAAGACTGCGTGGCCAAGAGCCCGACCGGGCACTTCAGCTTCTGGCTGGGCAAGTACCACGTAGTGGGGATGTCGGGGGCCGCGGCCCGCAAAGTGTTCCTCGACAACCCTAACTTCGACTTCGTGCGCGGCGCGACTCTGGTCGGCCACGGCCCGGACTTCGTGCCTCCGCTGCACGCCATCTTCCACGGCAACTTCCAGAACGGCCGCAGCTACTTCCAGCGCCGCTTGGTGGACCTGCAGAAGTCCGAGCAGCTGGGGAAGCGTCTGCCCGGCGTGACGAGGGACGCCCGCGGGGCATTTGAGGCGCTGCGCCAGCACGGCTCCGGCGTCATGAACCCGACGGACGCCTGCTATCGCCTGGTGGTGCAGCAGGCCTGTCGCGTGGTGTGCAGCGACGAGATCGCGGACAATCCGGCGGTGCTCGCCAGGACCCAGAGCGTGCTCTCGCTGCTGATGCACACGAGCAGCATCCACGCCGTGGCGCTGCCCTACCTACCCTCGCTAGCCAAGTTGAAGCGCCGCTGGGGCCGCTACAGCCTGAGCCGGATCGTGAGGCCTATCGTGCAGCGCCGGCTGCACAAGAAGAAGGACGACCCGCGCCACGACGACGTGGTGCAGTACATGCTCGACCGCGGCGACCCGCCGGAGTGGATGGTCGCCTTCTTCATCTCGACGCTGTTCATCGCCTCTGCCAACGCCGGCTACCTCAGCGGCGCGATGCTGAACATCCTCGCCCACCACCCGGACTGGCAGGCGCGCGTCTACCGCGAGATCAAGACCGTCGCCGCGGCGCACGCCCCGAACGACCGCCGTCACGCGCCCCTCGTCGACCAGCTCGACGCCATCTCGCTCGACGCGTGGGAGTCCTTCTTCCCCTCCATCGACCTCTGCTTCAAGGAGGCCATCCGCATGTGGGTCGCCTTCCCCATGATCCGCCTCAACATGGCGCCCCACGCCGTGCCCATCCCCGGCTCCGCCGAGGTCGTCCCCGCCGGCACCTTCGCCGCGTACAACTCCACCGAAGTCCACTTCAACCCCGAGCTATACCCGGATCCGTACCGATACGACCCCGAGCGCTTCCGCGAGGGCCGTGAGGAGTTCAAGCGGGAGGCCTACGGCTGTAAGTTGCTTCCTCGGCTTTCTTTTGCAAGCCACGCACGCTGACGAAGGTCTAGTCGTCGGATGGGGCCAAGGGCGCCACCCCTGCTTGGGCATGCGGTGGGCCAAGATCCAGCTGAACATTATCCTGGCTTACGCCCTGGCGATGTACGAGTGGAGCGGGTGTGACGAGAAGGGCCAGCCCAGCACCCACTTCGACCGCAAGACGGACCTCAACGCGCCGGGGCCGAGTCTGCCCGTGGGCCTGTTCTGCAAATACGTGCCCCGGGAGGAGGTGTGAGAATGTGCAGTGTGCGGCAGGTGTGCAACCAAGAGATATGTATTTAGGGGGTTAGCGACGCGGGTGGAGAGAATATGTTGGATGTGAACATGCATTACACAAGATAATGGATAGAACATATAATCCAGAACGAGTTGCAAAACAGCCGTGTAGATGTACGACCCAAAGCTATCTACAGCACTAGCCCAATGGTCAAAAAGCTACTGTCCCGCTCCACCCGGTCCCTGAGAGCAATCAACTCATCTACATCCCAATGCGCCCACAGATACCGGCCGTTCAAGAACCCACTCTCAGGGCCCGCCAGCCACCTCGCGAAATGCGCCGGCAGGTTGATATCCTCCCACCCCGTGGAGTCCGGGGCGTAATGTTCCGCGACAGACGGGGTATAGAACGCGCCCGGGTGGAAGGAGAAGACGCGGAGCGCGGGGCTGGCGCGCTCGGCCGCGAAATGCTGCATGAGCTGCGTGGCGGCCGCCTTGCTGGGGCCGTAGCCGGCGCGGAACGGGCTGCGGGTCTGCGCCGCGGCGGACGAGACGTGGATGACGGTCTTCGTGGCCGTGGAGTCGGTGGTGGTGGTGGTGGTGGTGGCCAGGTACGCCTGGACGAGGTGGAAGGGGGCGAGCACGTTGACGTCGAAGGCGGCCTGCATCTCGGCGGCCGTGATCGCGGTGGCGGGCACCTGGCGGTGGACGACGGCAGCGCACAGCACCAGCACGTCGACCGGCCCCAGCTCGGCGAGGATGGCGGCCATGCGCGCGTGGTCGGTGATCGAGGCCGCGTACGTGACGATCTGCACCGCCGGGTGTGCGGCCTCCAGCGCCGCCTTCGCCGCGGCTTGCGGCCCCGGCGACCGTGAGATGATGGCGATGCGCGCCACCTCCGCCTCCGCGAACGCCTGGCAGATGCTGTAGCCTACGCCGGTGGAGCCGCCCGTGACCAGGATGGTCTTGCCGGTGCCGGTGAAGTTGTGGTGCTTGGAGATGCGGTCGTAGGTTCGCGAGTGGTAGGTCTGGGTGGGACGCGGGAAGGCCTCGAATTTCGACATGGTTCTTCTTCTGGATGTGGTTGCTGGGGTCAATGGCGTGTCGCTTGCAGGAGCTGTGCGACTGTCTTGCACCGTCTGGCAGCGCCGTATGTGTATCGCTCTGGTCTTGAGGTTCAGGCTGACGGTGCTCGGGCTAAGCCTGCCTGGTAGGTGGGACGAAGAAGTCTATGTCCCGATCGACATGCTGCCAACTCCGGGGTTTCGGAAGTTTGTCACGGGTCAACGAGGAGGGGAGGTCTGCTGTGGCGCAATGGTGTTGGGCGTTGACGGCCTTGCTGTACTTAAGCAGAAGTGCAGTGCAGATATGAAAACTTGAATTGTTCATCACAGTAATATCAGGCTCTCGTATGCATGAGATTGTTGGGCGAGCAATGTAGATAGTAGGGCTGCATCATCACTCTCTGCTTCTGCTGCGCTTATCGTAGGGTTCGCGTCCGAGGCTGTCCGACCAGACATGATGCTTCGCAGACACGTCTTATACCCCTCAAACTCCGCTGACACACACAAGGGTTTGGGTGACCCGGCTACGTTCGGAAGGAGGCTTTGGTGTGCAAGTATGGCAGTCACGAGTCATTACCTCTATGCAGCAAGACGCTTGTCGCGAACGGATACATCGATATGAAGCTCGGTTAGGGTTGAGTTACTGAGTATAGATATGACTTGCTCGCTAAGATCGTTGCATTCTCAGAAATCCATGTCTATAGTCTATGTTTGGAACTATTCCCACTCGGTTTATCATCTTCCATCCAGTATGATATTAAAATCACGTCCTTGCGACCCATCGGGGCATAAAATACCCACACCTATTTTCCGTGACTCGCCGGGATGTTGTGTATTCCCGCACGATATCAATGTCCCGAGTTCGCGAATCCACAACCCGTTCCGAGAACCGGGTTTGAGCGAGTCAGGGTGAAAAGGTCGATTACGCGGGAGATCCGAGAATGAAAAGATCAGTCTCCGATAAAAGTCCTGATACGATGCATGAGCCTTTGATATATGATTTGCACTCTCCTTACCCACGGCATCATCCGTTAGCAAGCACCCTGTGCGGCACACTGCGAGAATGGTGTCAAACGAGTATCTCACCCATGGGGACAAGGATGAGTTCGACCCCGCAAAATGGTCTTCCACCCCAGGCGAGCTGCCTCCACGATCCCCCGCCACGCACCTCAACGTGTTGATTGTCGGGGCTGGGCCCGCGGGACTGATCACGGCGCTTGAATGCTGGAGGAAGGGACACAATGTGGTCGGGATCTTGGAGCGAAGCCAAGGACCTGTCTATACTGGTATGTCTTCACGTCATCGTCCACAAGACACGGTGCGGTCCATCGCAGAGTCAACGTGCTGACCCGCGCGATCTCCAGGAGACATCATCGTCATTGGTCCCTCCGCCATCTGCACGCTGCGCCACTGGCCCGAAATCTGCCGCGAGCTCGACCAAGACCGCTCGGACAGCGTGATGTATTACCGCCGGCACAACGGCGAGCTGATCCTGGGCCCCACCACGCTGGGCTACAACAGCCCGGAGCACCTCGCCCAGCGCCAGGGCCTGCCCTACGTGGCCCCCCACCAAATCCGCCGCCAGTTCTACCGCATGCTGCTCCGCCAGGTCGCGCGCATCGGCCTGCAAGTCGACTACGGCCAGCGAGTGGAACGGTACTTCGAAGACGAGGCCGCCGGGGTCGGGGGCGTGGTCACAGCGGACGGCCGCGTGCGGGTGGCGCACCTGGTCGTCGCCGCGGATGCCTTCAAGACGCGCTCCGATCTTCTGATCGCCGGCGAGCACGCGCCCACGCGCTCCAGTGGCATGTCGGTGTACCGCGCGGCGCTGCCCACGGCGCTGGCCCTGCGGGATCCCGCCTTCCAGGCCCGCTGGGGCGAGGTGGTGGCGCGCGGGGAATCCCACCACGAGTTCTGGATCGGGCCCGGCATGCACCTAGGGCTGTTCATCTCGCCGGACTTTGTGGCCTACGGGCTGACCCCGCGCGACAAGTTCCTGCAGCCCGGCGGAAACGAGCCTATCGAGTCCTGGGATCCCGACGTCGACCCGCAGGAGGTGCTGGACGTCCTGCACCGCATCCCGGAGTGGGATCCGGCCATCGAGGGCCTGATCCGCCACACGCCCCCGCGGGCCACGGTGCACTGGCCGCTCCTGTGGCGGAATCTCCGGCGCGAGTGGACGTCCAAGGCCGGGCGCGTGGTGCAGGTCGGCGACGCCGCGCATACCACCGTGCCCGCGTCGATCAGCGGGGGCACCCTGGCCATCGAGGACGCCGTCACGCTGGCGGCGTGCTTGCAGCTCGCGTGCGCCGGGGGTGCGCCGGGCGGTGCGCCGCTGGGCGCGCGCATCTACAACCTCCTGCGTTACCAGCGGGTGAGCTGCGTGCAGAAGATGTCGTTTGTCAACTCCGAGAACCTGGGGGCCGCCGATATGAATGAGGTTCTGAAGAAAGACCCCGAGAAGGTCAAGGTCCGGTTCCCCAAGTGGCTGTTCCAGCATGATCCCGAGGCGTATGTCTACGAGAAGTACGGCCAGGCGTACGCGCATCTGGTGCTCGGGGCGGACTTTCAGAACACGAACTTCCCCCCCGGCCATGAGTTCAAGATGTGGACGATTGAAGAGATCCATGCGGATATCCTGGCGGGGAAGAAGGTGGCGGACCTTTTGGATGGCGATTGGGATTAGCCGGGCACCGCGCCGAGGTGGCAGTGTCTCCTGGTGCTGTTGCGCCGTAACAAGACACTTAATTCAATGGTTATCTTATTACTCCCCACGCATCGTCAGGTTGAAGAAAGTCAGATGTTATACCTACCACAGGCCTTCGTCTCTTTGTATCCGGATCTCTCAACTGATCCGATGAGGGATCGAAGCAGCTTTGCCTTCACACTTGAAACCAAATAGAAATGATTCTCCCATTCATCTACGATACAAGCCTCTTAGGATACAGTTCTCGAAGCCTAGATTATCATCACAACAGTCACTACATACAAATAGCTTGTGACTTAGAAAGATACATAATAGTACTGATTACGCATCCAAACACTATGATTGCTCCTGAAACAGGTGCACTAGGCATAGAAATCAGTCCATAGATTTGGATTCGGTGTCTAAATATGTAGATCTAATTCAGTATCATCTGACTTATAAAAATCAATGGAGGGCTGGGGGGGCATCGGAGATTAGAAAGTGCGAGGCTTGGCATGTGGCGGGGGTTCCTCGGCTCTTATAAAACCCGACGGTCTCCCTCTCTCTCCTCTCCCTATGCTTATGCTTACTTACCGGCCCTTCCATTCTTTCCTTCTTCACCCAACTCAACATCCTCGGGCTTCGGGCAATCGGGTATAGGAACAATTCTCGCTTTCTGTCATGGACACGCCGATCTCTGTATCCGTTCAGACAGCCACCGCCGTCAAGCCCCAGCAGCCTCGGCGCGTGCTGGCGTGCGTGCTCTGTCAGCAACGCAAGATCAAATGTGACCGCACATTCCCCTGCACCAACTGTGCCCGAGCCAACGTGCAATGCGAGCAAGCCGTTCGTCAGCGACGGCGCAGGTTTCCGGAGAAAGAGTTGTTGGCCCGCCTGCGACTCTATGAGGGTCTACTCCGACAGCACAACATCAAGTTCGATCCCCTCCACACCCCAACCGCTGACCATCGGTCTCCCAGTGACGATGGCCGCGACGACCTGCCAGAGGGGGGCGAATTAGAGGGCACTCTGGGTGAGAGAGAGAAGCCCACCGTCAAGACCAAGTCACTGTATGAACTCCTGTCCTGCATTTACTTAATTGGCAGGGGATGACTAAATGTCTGCGAGAAACCTCTGGCATGCGATGAGCCAAAAGGTAAGAGACATGTCTACGTCGACAAGGCTTGGAACTCACTGACCAACGCAACAGCCTGTAAGCCCTGGAGACGACGATGGCAACGAGGGTGAGGACGACGAGAATGACACCGGTTTCCTGCACGATACGGACGATGTGCGGCCCGCCGTTATCCAGAAGGCGTGGAATCACACCTTTCAAGGCCAAAGCAACGACCACCTCCTCTTTGGTGCGCCGGTAGGCACCGTCGATCTTTCCGCTTCGCATCCAAGCCAAGTGCATATCTTCCGGCTGTGGCAGGTCTACCTAGACCAAGTGAATCCGCTGCTCAAAGTCACTCACACTCCCACCCTGCAGACACGGATCATTGATGCTGCCAGTGATATCGCCAACATCAGCCCCACCTTAGAAGCCCTGATGTTCAGCATCTACTGCGTCTCCCTTACGAGTCTCTCGGGCGAACAATGCAGTGTACTGTTTGGAACCGCGAAAAAGGAACTTTTGACTGGCTATCAGTTTGCGTGCCAGCAGGCGCTACGCAATTGCGGGATTCTACGCTCCAGCGACCGCGAGTGTCTGACCGCCCTGTATCTGTATCTAGTAAGTCTGGCTGGCTGGGGCCGTGTGAATGTACTGGACTAAAGTCGTACAGGTTTCCATTCGCCCTGACACCGATCCCGCATCCCTGTCTTCGCTGCTGAGCGTCGCGATCCGAATCGCCCAGCGCATCGGCATCCATAACGAGTCGATGTACGGCAAATGCTCCGCGCTGGAGGCGGAGATGCGCCGTCGGCTGTGGTGGTCGCTCATCATCTTCGACAACCGCGTCTGCGAGATGTCCGACTATAAGACGGCATCGCTGGCGCCGACCTGGGACTGCAAGGTGCCGCTCAACGTGAACGACTTCGAGCTGCAGCCGGAGATGAGAACGCCCCCCGCCCCCAACAACCGACCCACGGAGATGCTGTTCGCCGCGGTTCGCAGCGATCTCGCCGACTTCGTGCGCCACAGCGCCTTCCACCTCAACTTCACCAACCCCTCCCTCAACACGATCGCCCCGCGTCCCACCGACGAAGCCGAGCGACTGGTCTCGCTGGAAAAAACCATGGAGGAAAAATACCTGGCTTTCTGCAATCCCGAGAACGCCCTGCACTTCATGACCCTTTGGACGATGCGGGGGTCCCTGGCCAAGAGCCGGCTCCTGCAGCACTACTCCCAATGCTCCAGCACCCCCGAGCCACCGACCGACGCCCAGCGCAACACGGGCCTCGCGCACGCGCTGCGCATGCTCGAATGCGACACGAAGCTCATGACCTCGCCGCTCACGCAGCCCTATCGGTGGCTGGTGCACTTTCACTTCCCGTTCCCGGCGTACATCCACCTGCTGCAGGATCTGAAGAAGCGGCCCGTCGAGGCCCATGCCGACCGCGCGTGGGCCGTCATGAGCGACAACTACGCGGTGCGGATGATGGAGGCCGGCCAGGACGATCGCCCGTTCTTTATCGTCTTCTCGCGGATTGTCCTGCAGGCGTGGGAGGCGCGGGAGAAGGTGGCTGTGGCAGCCCAGCTCGAGACGCCGCCGCCGGTGCCACCACGGATGGTCGTGGATATCCGGAACAAGGTGATGCAGATGACGACGAGTTTCGGACTGGATGCGGCTGCTGCGGTGCACTCTGATGGGGTCGTGGGGGTCAGTGCCGAGGATCTCGAGATGGACTTGGCGGCGCCAGAGATGGCGTACGGCCCTGGCGGGCACGGCGCGACTGGACTGGAACCGTGGGGCTGCCTGGATATAGCTGGGCCGGCGGCTGGGGACGTAGGTGCGAATCAATTTCTGTTGAATACCATGGAGTGGAATGCGCTGCATGCTCGGGGTAGGTGAGGGGCTCTTTGCCCGGCAGAGGTGTGAGCCACGAGTGTCGATGATTAATCCCGCCTATGACTCGAGATGATAAATGATAATCTACGCATTTCTGGAGGGCCCATGGCGAGGCGATGGTGGTGCTGCCTATCGTAGGATTCGATTGTAATGATCAAGTACGTAAGTACATTCGTTATTCGAATCAATTGGTTCAAGTTCTATTAGCCTAGGGAGTCGTCATGGGAGGGCTCAGCCCGCCTATTGCAGCATGCTATGAAGGTGCTTCATCAAGAAGCCAAGAACTCAGCCGTTGCGCCATTTACACCCGATTCCTCTGGTCAGTCAGGAACCAACGCATGAATTAACGCATGATATACTGCCCGAAATAGCTTCGTGGTTGCTTCTGCGGCATGGAAACTACAAGCCGGGCAACGGGAGGTCGGGCGATATGAGTCGATTCCATCGCCAGCATCACACTCTCTCAGACCAGATGTCCCAGGTCATTACGAGAACAGTATCATCAAACTTACCTCAAGGTTCAACGACAAGACCGGCTATTCTCTGGCTAGCACACATAAGGCACGGAATAAAGACGACAAACGGCATTTCTGACCCGAAAAACATGCAGCGATAAGGAAAAGCGAGATGTCCGCACTACTACTAGACATGTTACCTGCATGGAATTGACATTGAGGACGCCGAGTGCAACGTGAACGTAAGACAATCTATCTCTTTAGTTGAGAGAATGTACTCATGTTTCTGGATTGGCAAAAACGGGGAGATCTTTTCCTTTGGCAGCTCCTTCTTTGCGGGCAACTCCCCCCCAGCCCAGCATGGCAGGCGAGAATGGCAGGCGGCGCGGCAGCAGCCGGCATAACGTCCCAGATTGCGCCTGCTGGGCGATATAGCAGACCTTAACCAGGGCTGCGCAGCCTCTATTTGGCACACCTCACGCCATGAGCAGCTTGGTCCGCCCTCACAAAGATGCGAGTGTGTTGACCATCAGGTTGAATCATCACCGTCCTGGCCTGCAGAAGGAAGAGTGCAAAGGTAGTGTGTGTGCAAGTCCGATGTCAAGCACATTGCCCATGCTACGCTATTTTTAATGGACTGTTTCCGTAGAAGCACTGAAATGACCTCTCACACTCCGGTTCCTGCTCAGTCATCATATGCCTCACACACCTCATTGCTCTTTTTGGGCAGACGTCATCCATGCCATTCAATCCTCATGAGCATTACCATACTTGTCAGATGAATCCCGTCCCTCTCGTAAGACGCGAGCGTGGCATCGCTTTGTTTGGGGTCACCACCGTCATGCAATGAGGCTCTGGCAGTTCAGCTGTATGCGCCAAGAAGCAATACGAAAGCCACCGGGGGAGCCGAAAAGCTGGGGAAAGGGGCCAAGATCTCCCAAGAACCCATCGTCACCTCGTACTATGTATATCAACAGTCTCAGCACCTCCCACAATGTATCTGAGGTTGACTGACATACCCGAGTTACGAGGATTGGCATCGGCGACGCCGATGATGTGCTGTGAATGGGGTCCAAATATGCCTGACGCGGGCAACGTTTCCGGCTATATAAACAACCTTCTGGTCGCCTGGACACGGAGTTGAAGCATCACTGTTGGCACAACATCTCTGACAACGCCTATCCGCTTTAGCTTTATATCTTCGAAGATCCCCCCAAAGGAAACACCCCACCACGTAAACATGTCTCGCTTCGTGAACAGCCTCACCGTACGCCGTCCTCCCTTCTATTACCCTCACCTCCCCTCCCAGCCCACCCAACTAACCCAAACATCCAGGTCGACTATCGCGACGACCACGATATCCCACCGACCTGCATCCAGATCATCGACGGAAACAACCCCGACATCAACGCCGGGTTCAGTGGCAAGTAAGCGCTCCTTAGCCTCATATTTTCGAACGAACAAAACCATCTCATCCATCCCACCCCACTCCCCACCTCAAAGTATTCACCCGCAACCAGATTTGTCTACATCGTCGTCGGCCACACCTCCAAGCCCGAGTTCGCCCTCACCGACATCCAGGTCCTGGTCCAGGAGGACGAGAACAAGGACTACCACGATCTGGCCAAGGGGGCGGGCGGGGCCTACCGCTACATCCACACCCTGCAGGGCACGGGCGCCCCCATCGTCGACGTCAAGCTGCTGCGGCGGGCGGAGAAGGTCGAGCTGTCTACGGTCCAGGCGCTCGGGTATAGCCATATGACAGGGGACATCAATGAGGGTCGCGGGGGGGATTATTTGCATATCATCTGGAAGACGGCTTGAGCGGTGTTGGGTCCTTTTGTGGTCAGGCATGCCTGAATGAGTGACGTTGGGAATTTTGCCATCTGCTTATGACCTTTGAGTGTATTGAGATGTGAGGTACAATGAGAATGAAGAAGGTTGATGCGGACTTGGCTAGACGTGATCCTAAAGAGACAGCTATTGCACTCCTTGACAGTCCATACCGCCGCGGCGGGGCTGTGATACAATGGCTAGGTAGCCATCGGACGCTCTCAAACGTGCTCAGCTTGGGCGGTTATCAGTTCCCCGATAATTTGTGGCCGGCGACAGAAGAGGGAACATGTCCATCTTTATTCGGGCCAGCGTTGACTATGAGGGCATCAATGATGTTTCTGCCATGCATTAGATGGCACTCCTTGAGTTGAGATGTATCATGACGTCGCTAGTTGGTGAAAAGTAGGAAGAGACAGGGGACGAGGAAGTAGTCGGAAGCTAGAAGAAGGAGGCCAGCAGCATGGCCTTGGCTCTAGATGACGATAGCGCCCGAGTCTTCAGCCCTGATTGCTAGATCTGACTATTCGTGTCGAATTTCCGGTTTACATTAGCGTTCCAGCAAATCCACATATATTTATATGCTCCCTCGACCCCCGCGGCTACAAAGATTCTGTCCTTCACCAGCCGATTCCTTGACGACCACATATATTGGACCTTCAAACACCTCTCCCGTACTTCATCGCAATGTTCCACTGGCTGACGACCTTATGCCTAGCGACTGTCCTTTATCTCACCGGCATCGTTGTCTACAGGCTCTATCTTCACCCCCTTGCCCAGTTTCCCGGCCCATGGCCGGCCAAAGTGTCTGGCCTCCACGCGCTCTACTACGCCTGGCGGGGCGACCGACACTTGATGCAGGCTCGGAGTCATGCACGGTATTGGGATTATGTGCGCCTCGGGCCCAACTACCTGTCTGTCGCCAGCGACCTCGGACTGCAGGAAATCTACGGGACTAGAGCAAACGTGCAGAAGTCGTCGTTCTACCACGCCTTTGTAGCCCAGAAGGGCGCCTGGAGCACATTTACGAGCATTGACAAGTCACTGCATGCACGGAAGAGGTGCGTCTAACCGCGGCGAGCAGGTAGCTACAGCTGGGATGGGGCGCTAATTCCTCGTCGTAGACGTGTGCTTGCCCCCGCCATGACGGAGAGGGCATTGAAGTCGATGGGGCGGCGTATCAACCAATGCATCGACATCTTCGTCACACAGCTAGCGCGCAACGCCGATGCAGAGAGCGGATGGACGCCTGCGGTCAACATGTCGGAGCTGGCGGATCATGTGGCCTTCGACATCCTCGGCGACCTGGTCTTTGGGGAGGGCTCCTTTCAGATGCTCACTAGCTGTGCCAATCGGTACATTATGGACTTGATTGTGGCGACTTCCTACTGGGCCCTGCTGGTGGTTACCCCCCCTCTTGTGCCCCTCCTCAATTGCTACCCTTCCGTTCGAGGCACTGTGCAGGGAAAGACTCAGACTGATACGCTTATCAGGTCGGCACCTTCCCCCTACTCCGTGCGTTACCAATCATTCCGCTCTGGTCCCCAGAGCTCTCGCGCAAACGACGAGCATATCTTTTGTTCTGCCAAGAGAAGGCGTGTCAGCGGATGGCGAAGGTCGGGGTCCCCGGTCCCTCACCCGAGGAGCACAGCGACCTGCTTCTTCATCTGCTCAGTGGAAGACGACATAGCGATACCCACAGCCACCGGTTCCCCGACGACCAAGAACCAGAACCAAGTGCATCATCCCCACCGTCCACGGCGGAAATCTGGGCGGAATGTCGAACTCTGATCGTCGCCGGCGCCGACACCGTCGCCACGGCGCTGGCCGCTCTCACCCACTACCTCGTACACAATGAGGGTGCCTACCACCGACTTGAAGAGGAGATCCTGACGGCCTGTCCCCGCCTCCGCGGTGAGGATGATGGTGATGATGATAATAATGATGATGCCGGCCACTGGCCAGAGGTCCGCTTCCCGGGCCCCAGACCGGCCCAATGCCCGTACCTGGATGCATGCATTGACGAAGCCCTGCGCCTCAGTCCGCCCATCCCCGGGCCCCTGCCGCGCGAGGTGCTGCGAGGTGGGATGGCGCTGGGCCGCGGCCGGTTTGTGGTGCCGGCGGGGACGGTGGTGGCGACGGCGGCGTACGCGCTGCATCGCCATCCGCGGTACTTTCCGCAGCCGGAGGTGTTCTGGCCGGAGCGGTGGATGGTGGGGTCGGCGCCGGGGGTGACGCTCGCCACTGTGCGGCGGGCGCGCCAGGCATTCTGTCCATTTGGGGTTGGGGCGCGCGGATGTGTGGGACAGTCGCTGGCGTATGGAGAGCTGAGGACGCTGGTAGTGCGGATGCTTGGACGGTATCGCATCCGCTTGTGTCGGCAGGTGAGGGTCGGGGAAGGTCCGAGTGCTCGGGAGATTGGCATTGGTGTTGCTACTGATGCTGGTGCTAGTGCTGGTGCTGGTGCTGGTGCTGGTGCTGGTGCTACGCTGGCAGATGCACATGCAGATGCAGATGTGACATCGGTCCAAAGGCAGGGCGACGGCGTGAGCAAAGGAGGGGAAGAATACAGAATGCTCGACCGGTGGACGGCCCAGCGGGACGGCCCATTCGTGGAGTTTCAGTCTCGACCGCGGTAGGGGGTGAGATGGAACTTTGGAGGGCTGTAGTTATGATAATCTATGGCTTCATTGCGTGAGGTGCTTATCTTCACGGAACTATAGGGACTATCTGCATGGCGTGCATGCGGGGGTGAATCAATTGAGTCTGCCATCAGTTGCTGTACTGTCACTGATACCGTGGATACGTACATACATACACACATACAAACATACATACATACATCTTTACACACGTCCATACATACAGACACACATACACATATACCAGGTTCCAATACATACACATGTCCATACATACTTCTTTACCCACGAATGCGAGACGTGAGCAGGGACTCCACCCCACCCTCCTGTCTAGTACCCTGCAGGAATGGATTTTTAACACTTTTGGGTCTGACTCCTCTTTCTCTCTGCTGAGCTCCAATTCTGCGGGATGTGGTGATTGACGCAGAGGCTAACTAGTTATCAGCTACCCACGCTTAGGACTCTCTCGGAGTTTCCATTTCACTTGCAATTCAAGGGTATCTTGATTCTCCTCTAATATCCGATGGATTGCATGCTGAATAGACACACAGATCCGGGTGACTTGTCAAGCGGTTTAGACGCTACGGTATCGTGATGGGGTCGCCTTCTCGAACCGTGACTGCGGACTAGGGGAGCGGAGTATGGCTGCCTCCGTCCAAGAACGACCCCGATTGATTATGTCGGGGCAGAAGGCGCATTGACTGGTGAGCATTCAGGCAAGAAGCGACGGAGACGTAATCCCTGGACTGCCTTTATTCCCAATGTCATTTTTCTGGACTGTTATGGTCAAAGCCGTTGGCAATCGCGCCCTAAGATGCCTGCAGAGATCCGAGCGAGTATGAAGACCAGGCAGGCAATCTCCGCTTGAAGAATTTAATTTTGGCGCAGTACAAACAAAAAAAGACTCAAGAAGAATAAACTAGATCCAATGTCATTTATTTCCTTCACCAGTCCGAGCCAAGTTGTATTTGCTACGTCGCCATCCAACCCACTCCCAACATCTTCTCTTGCCCTCTCCCTCGTCGTCTTCCCCTTATGTCCACAAAATCGAGGCTCAGTGATATCGACTGCGCTGTAACATCGCATGGTCCTCAACATGCCCCTCGGGAGTCACCGACTTCTCTGGCACCCCGTCGCGGAACTCCAATGCGCGCGGTGCCAGCCAGCTCTCCACACTGTCCCAGTTGACGCACAGGTGGTTGGCCGCCGTGCGGTTGATGAGCGGCTTATGCTCGTTGTCTGCGCCGAGGAACCAGCCCGAGAGCGCCACGTCGGCGCGGCACCGCACGCCCTGTAGCAGGACGTTGACGCAGTGGTCTGGATCGAGTGGGGATTTTTGCAGTCAGTCTTTCTTGTCTCACCCAGACGTCCCCCCCCCGTTTGTAGGAAATCGGGATGATGACGAGGGGACGGGAAAGAGAATCGGAACTCACCGCGGTCCTTCTCGGTGATGTTCTTCGCAATCCGCACGTCTTCACGGCTGTATTGGCGCTTCAGCCAGTCCTGAGATGGAGAACGTGGTTACCAATGGAGATCCATCGCACGCGAACGAAAAGAGACAACGAGAGACAACCAGAACACAAATGAAAAGGAGAGAGACCGACCATGCAGTGCAGCTCCCCGTACACCCGGAGATAGGCCAGGTAACCTCCGTTCTCCAGTTCGATGGAGTCGTCGCCGTACTCGCCCCATTGAATCATTTCGTCTTTCGTGCCGCGGAAGAAGGATTCTGTCGCGGTTAGATTTTGTAGAGCACTCGGAGGGGGGAGGTTGGGTGGTGAAAGATCGAGTTGGAGACAAGGCGGAGGAGAAGGGGTGGAGGCCGGCATCCTAGCAGGCAGACAGAGGATGCGGGGGACTGCATACTCCTCATGAGATTATCCCAGCTTTCTTCCAGCTCGGGTCGTGGATTGCCGCCATAAGGATTGTACGCGTAGATGTCCATGACACTCGGCTCATAGTAGATGCCCGTCTTCAGCGGCGCTATGTGGCAAGATCTGGCAGTCAGCAGAGCACACGGGGCTGTTGTTTCCCACCAGCCCTATTCTGAAGGGGGGGTGAGTTTACACTCTGGTAGGTCCGGACAGTAGTTCTTCATCGCAGCCGTCCAAGTGCGGCTGTTCACGTAGAAAATGGCATTCCCGATGATCAAGGTGAGGTTCATCAGGGTCAGGAACGGTAAGCGAGAGGGGAACCGACACCATCTTCTCCAGCTGAACCCTTGAGAAGTGTCTCCGGGCGGGAAGCCCAGCCGACTGTAGGCGTAGGACCGGCCTTGAGTTCTGCCCTTGATCATTTTTGAGGTGGATGAGACTTTTCCTCCCTGGACTGGATTCGAGTTGGCACGAGAGGAGGAAAGCAGGAGGGGCGAAAGGGAGCAAGAAAGACCTTGGACTGTATACTGTGTACTGAGTACTGACCAACCGACCAGAAAGATTATTGCTATCGGCATACCAGTCAGACTGCATGCACTGCACTGCACTTGCCAGTACTGGGTGGATGTGAGATCAGTCCAATTTCGACATCGCAGGGACAGCACTGGTCAGGGTTGGTAAGCCGTTGTAACAGTATAGTACAGTACGGTAAGGTGCTTGTCCTGAATTACAGTACGGTACAGTACCTAGCTAGTACACTCAATCGTATGAAATGCAACAACCCTCTGTACCTAACACAATAAATGTTGTCGATACCCTGTGACACATGCCGTCTCCACACTTCGCCGAAGTCGGCAGCTCGTATATGTAGATGCAGATGAGCATGCATATGTACCTATTAATTAACTTGTATCACTCCCTCTCTGTATTCAGCCGACAAGAGCTTCACTCCTCCAATCAGCTACCTACGTTAGTTTCCACCATAATTTACCTCCAGGTGAACGTGTTTGTTGGTTGATGACACGAAAAACAACGCGATAATCTCGAGGCGAAGCTGATAGCGGCTGCGCAGACGGCTGGGGTGCAATTCGATGAAGCAGTGAAGCACAAGACACCACACTCCCTGACTCTGACAGCGGGGTTGCATTGGACTATTATTTTCAGGGTCGAGCTCCGTTCTATGGAGTAAGAGAGAGACAAGACAGACCACAGTGCTGCTCCGGCTGGACTCCGTTCTGGGAGGCCCTACACCACACACGATGAACACCGAATTCTACGGCATCAGCCAGAGCGACTGGACTCGCATCAAGGCATGGAATGCGCACTGTCCCGAGGCTATTGACTATACTCTCCATGATCTCATCCATCTCCGGACGCAATTCCAACCCACGTTGCCCGCCATCCAGGCCTGGGATGGCCGGCTCACGTATGCCGCGCTGGACACCGTCACTACGCGCCTGGCGCACTGGCTGGGGGCACAGGGGGTCCTGCCCGGCTCACGCGTGCCCATCGCTTTCATCAAGTCTTCGTGGGCGGTCGTCGCGATGATCGCCGTCATGAAGGCTGGCGGCGCCTTCCTTCCGCTCGACTGGTCCCAGCCTGCCAGTCGCACGCTGGAGGTCCTGGACCAGGTCCAGCCCACGGTGCTGTTAGCTTCGACCTCGCTTCTCGACCGCCTCTCAGGTATGCGGTTGCAGACGCGACTGGTCGCGGTGGATCAGAGTCTGGTGGATTCCCTGCCTATCGACGACCGTCCATTGAAGCGGTTGGTCTCGCCGACCGATCCGGCTCTTTGCATGTACACAGTAAGCCTCGACTGTCCTCAAGCCGAGCAAGGTCCGCGTGCTAACCGAGTGAGGTAGTCGGGCAGCACAGGCCGACCCACTGGGGTCCTGATCCAACACAGGGCCATCGCAACGGTGAGTGTGAGGGTCGCCCCGAGCTATCAGTATGGGCCCCAGTCGCGCGTGGCGCAGTTTGCCGCCTACATTTGGCTCGTGTGCGCCAACGAGATCTTCACGACCTTGGTCTGGGGCGGGCAGGTTTGCATCCCCTCGGAATCCCAGCGACTCGATGACCCTACTGGTTTCATTCGCGATCACGGAATCTCCCTAATCCATGCCACCCCGGCTTTTCTGACCTCCATCCAGCCCGAGGATGTTCCCTCGGTGCAGGTCATTGGAATCGGCGGCGATCGGGTCTCCGAGGAATTGGCGAGGAAGTGGTCCCAGTTCGCACACGTGGTTCTGGGTTATGGGTCTACAGAAACGAACCTGTGTATCAACCATCCCTATCGTCAGATGGAGGAGGAGGAGGAGGAGGAGGAGAAGAAGAAGGAGGAGAGAGTGGCGGGTCCTCTGGCAGGGAAGCCCGTTGGCGCAGTGGCATGGATAGTGAAGGCTGGGAACCACGAGGAATTGTGTCCCATTGGCGAAATCGGCGATCTGGTGATCGAGAGCCACGGGCTTGCACTGCAGTATCTCGGTCAAGAATCGAAGACGGCCGACAATTTCATCCCTCCCCCGGCCTGGAGTCGAACAATCCGCCCACGTGGAGACACGCGATGGTGTAAGATAGGAGATAAAGCCTCGTACGGCACCGGCGGCTCGATTAGGATCCACGGCCGAAATGGCAGTGTTGTGAAGGTTCGGGGCCAGCGCGTGGGATTGCCTGAGGTCCAGCGCGCCTTGGATCAATGCCTATCCCTGCCCAGTGTCGGGATCGTAGAGGCTATCAAGCTCAAAGCAGTCGACGGGGAGGAGGCTCGACTGGTGGCTTTCCTCTTGACTCCCGGCACAAACTTGGATGCAATAAGTTCAGGACTGAAAGACCGTCTTTCCTCACTTCTTCCGGAGTACATGCTACCCACTGCATTTCTCCCCCTCGCTGAAATCCCAATGACAGCGAGTGGGAAGATTGACCGACCGCGACTACATGAGCTCGCTTCCTCCCTGAGCGTTGCAGACCTGGCAACCTGGGCCCCGCGCAGTCACGAAACCAGTGATCCAACCTCTGTAAAGCTGACTGCTGAGGAGCTGCTTCTGCGAGAGATGTGGTCGAAGATCCTCAATGTACCGGCCAACCGCATTTCAGCCCATGACGAGTTCTTCAGTTTAGGCGGGCACTCCTTGTCGGCGATCCAGCTGGTGACTGTCGCACGACGTGCAGGAGTGAGCCTGTCGGTAGAAGGAATATTCAAGAACCCTCATCTTTCCAGCATGGCTCTGGTAACCGAACCCATGTCTACAGACGAGACAGCTACTGAACAGATTTTGCCTTTTGCTTTGCTTAAGGGAACTCCTTTACTGAAGGAGCGTATCATAGATGAGATCATCTCCACCACATCCATCTCATTGTCTGAGATCGAAGATATATACCCTTGTACCAGCCTACAAGCGGGTCTCTTCTCGTCATCTTTGAGGAATCCAGGCACCTATATCATCTCATCCAGGATGTCCCTGCCGGACACCATTGATGTAGAGCGACTCGAGAGGGCATGGCGGATGGTGGTCCTCAAGACGCCTATTCTTCGAACTCGGCTGGCTCACACTTCAGCGGGATTTGTCCAAGTCGTGCTCAAAAACGATTTTGACTGGCAAATGATGGCCATCCCAAGGTCCCCGCCATCTGAAGAGGAGAGTCCGCATGAGCTTCGTTCGGGCGAGCGGCTCACCCACTATCGTGTGACAAGGCAACACGATACCGAGCCAAGGCTCTTTACGTGGGAGATCCACCATGCGCTGATCGACGCCTGGTCGCAGCAAGCGGTTCTGCGGATGGTAGAAGCAGAATATCGCAACCATCCAGCGACCCGTGAGACTTGCCATGGCCATTTCAGCTCTTTCATCAAGTATGTCCTCCAGAAGGAGAGGGACGTGGGCACCGCCCAGTACTGCAGACACCAACTGGCTGGAGCTGCAGCTTTGCCCTGGCCTCCTCTTCCATACCCGAGATACCAACCTATTGGAGACTCAATCATCCGCCGAAGGATCTCCTTCGCTCCTCGATCAAAGGGGTCCTCATTCACAACGGCAACTGTAATACGCGCAGCGTGGGCATTACTGTTGACCCAGTACGGAAACACAAACGATGTGATCTTTGGGGCCACAGTGAGCGGGCGAGAGTCCCCAGTGCCCCATATCGAGGATATCATCGGGCCAACCATTGCGACCTCGCCGGTACGGTTGCAGATTGACCGGTCCCAGCCCGTTCACACGTTTCTCCAAATCGTCCAAGCTCACGCGGTGGATATGATGCCATTTGAGAGTTTTGGACTGCACAATATCCGCCGCCTAGACCCGGAGATTGCGCACGCCTGCGATTTCCAAACTCTACTAGTCATTCGTTCCTCTAATGAGGGGGAGGAGCAGGAGCTATTGGGGGAGCAGTTCCAGGTCGAGGCGTGGGATGGGTCCCTGACATACGCTCTAACCCTGGAATGTGCCTTGCTGGAGGCCGGTGGGGCTTCGTGTCAAGCCACCTTTGACCAGCAAGTCCTTCCACCGGCCCAGATCGACCTTATCCTAGGCCAGCTAGAGCACGTATGTCGTTTGCTTGGCTCCGAGAGTAGCAGCGAGACGTGCATCCATGACCTGGATCTGTTGAGCCAATCCGATCGGGAGTTGATTTGGGGTTGGAACTCGACCCTGCCGCCGACCATCAACCGATGCATCCATGATGTCTTCCGGGACGAGGTGGAGCACCATCCGGATGCGGTGGCTATTGATGCATGGGATGGATCCTTGACCTACAGGCAGTTGGATGAGCTCGCGACCAGCCTAGCTCATCTCTTGCAAGGCTCCGAGGGCATCGCAGTGGAGGACATCGTGCCAGTCTGCTTTCGCAAGTCGAAATGGACCATCGTGGCCATGCTGGCCCTGTGGAAGGCCGGAGGAGCCTTCGCCTCCATTGACGCCGGTCACCCCGCGTCCTGGATTAGAATGATCAGCAACAATGTCCAGGCCAAGCTAGCCCTATGCTCCCAGGAGGTTGCGCAGTCTTTTCCAGAGGGCAAGCGTGTTCTGGTCGTCGATGAGGCGCTCCTAGACCGCATTCCGCAAGTTCAGAGCCCACTCACCGTAAGAGTTCAGCCTGAGAACGTGGCGTATGTGATCCACACTTCAGGGAGCACGGGGGTACCCAAGGGCATTGTACACGAGCATCGCACCTACATATCGGGCGTGGTGAACCGGATGCCCTCCATGTTTCGCAGCCGCGACTCGCGCGCCCTGCAGTTTGCATCCTACAGCTTTGACGTTTCCGTCGAGGATATTTGGACGACCCTGCTGGTGGGTGGAGTTGTTTGCGTGCCCTCGGACCACGATCGTGTCAATGACCTGGTCAATTACATGAATCGCACTCAAGTCAACTACGCCGAACTGACCCCATCTTTCACCCGAACACTATTCCCAGACTCTCTACC